TGAGCTCGAATCACATTTCCAGTTGCGAATGCGCTTTTGAGTCGACTCAAAAGGAGAATCTGAGCTCGAATCACATTTCCAGTTGCGAATGCGCTTTTGAGTCGACTCAAAAGCAGAATCTGAGCTCGAATCACATTTCTAGTTGCGAATGCGCTTTTGAGTCGACTCAAAAGCAGAATCTGAGCTCGAATCACATTTCCAAATGCGAATGCGCTTTTGAGTCGACTCAAAAGCAGAATCTGAGCTCAAATCACATTTCCAGTTGCGAATGCGCGCTGCTTAGTAGCTTTGGCTGGTAGGTCCTTGGCTTGACACTGTGAAAATCCAGGAGAGGATTTGTGATGGCAATGGAACTTGACTGCGGACTGTACTACAGCGGCACTATACAGTACGGTATACTGTACAGAAACTGCGTACAGTGTATCCATGCTATCTTAGTCTGCATCGTGGGATGTCCTGAGCCGTCCATTCCTAAACGCGATCAAGATCCACACGATCGGGTCCGCCGACGCCGTAGGTCCGCCGCCGCCGGCGGCCCCTACACAGGGGCTACTGCCTCGGGCTTGAAGCGGATCTTGACCAGGCCTGTTGATTCAAGGGCATATGCCCTTAATGCCCTGAACATTAAGGGCTAGTTTCGCTCCAGCTCCAATGCGGCAAGTTCTGAATTCGTACCCCACCCGTGCCACTAAGTGCTTCGTTCGACCCTTCCCCGGATGCGTTAAGGGACGAAACCAGGCCTTCCCCCCTATATAAGTTTTGGTTTCCGCTCGTAGGACCCCCCCCACCCAGGGTGTCCGAACCCCCCCCCCCCCCCCCCCCCCCCCCCCCTTTCTCCTTAGCCTGCACTAGAGCGCGCTTAGGGGATTTTTCCCTTAGCGTTTTCTAGCCAATTTCGTGTGTGTGTGTGTGTGTAGTGTGTCTCAGTTAGCCTTGGAGCACCCGAACATTCCCTTAGCGTCCAATACGAGCTGGCCGCAGTTTACAGCTGTGACACATAGGATTAGGTTGGGTGAATCTGGCTAAGTTTATTGGCCACAGAGAACTCCTAAGCACGTCAAAGGAAGTGAAGCACTCTAGCGTAGGAGCTCTCTCACCACCTTCGTTCGTGCATGCCACGATTCCTCTCCACCACCATGCATTCCATACACCACCACCACCCCACCCACCCAACCTCCCACTCCTCTCCTCTTTTGTTCGTGCCATGTTTTCTCTTCTCCAGCGTCTGACCACCTCCACGGTACCGCCCACCCAAGCTCTCTGCTCTCCACCTTCGTTCGTGCCGTTCTATGGCACTTCTCCTCCACCCACCAACTCTGCCGAGTAAAGCTCGCGTCGCCTTGCTCACACACGCGAGGTTTATATATTGGCTAGCTAACACGTTCCCTTCGTCAGCCACAATCTCCTACCATGGACCATAGCGAGGGTGAAACCCCTCCTCCAGTTTTGCCCACGACGAACTTCTCTTATTCTCATACTACAACCGAGACCGAGCCCTACGTAGCCACGGATGCTGAAGACATGCTAGACGTAGCAATCTCAGTCTTGGACCCGCGCCTCGCCCAGCAAGCCTCATCGTCACAGTCTACCCCGAGGTCTGCAGCCCGTTATCATCAGGTTCACCTAAGCTTCGCTAGTCCGCCACCAGACACGCGAAAGCGCGCACGATGCGTACCGCCACCACCCACTGCTGAGGAGTTGGAGGCGCAAGACAACGCGATCGCAAAGGATGCAGAAGTACCCCCGGACACCGAGATCCCTGAGGCGGAGAGGAGTCTTGCACGTCGCTTCAGCACGTCGTGGAAGCAGACGTACTCGTGGCTGAGCTTGAAGTACCACAAATATGAGCGCCAGTATGGTATGAAGTGTTCCGTCTGCTGTGAGTTTGCTCCTAACACCAAGTCTCCCTTTGACGGTGCTTGAGTCGGTGCAAGGGATTTTCAGAAGTCGGCGTGCCGCAACCATAACCAGTCCAAGGTGCACCTGGCGGCCATGGAAGCTGAACGACTCTCTGAAGGCACGGAGGTGAGGCAGCGCAGCCTCTTGAATATGCTCAGCAACGATCCTGTCATGGCAAGGGTCGTCAAATGCATGCAAGGAGCTCACTGGATTGCGCGGAACGATGCACCTATCGCGCTCTACCCCATGCTGGTGCGGTTCATGGCGGAGCAAGGATGCCCCGACATGATGACCGACGAATCGTACGGTCGTTATTACTCGCGGTACGTGCTTGTTAGCCTCTGTTTCTGCTCCTGATTTCCTGCTTTTGCTTCTGTTCGTATGCTTCTGCTTTGTTCTACTTCTTCTGCTGTTCTATTGTGGATAACTTACTCACATTTTCATTCGGTGCTCATTGCAGATACGCCTTTGGCGAGTTCGCAGAGGCTATGGCGGAGCATTTGGTGGCCAAGCAGCTCGAGGACATCAAAGAGTCGGCCTGTTACAGCCTCTCCTTCGATGAATCCACAGATCACGCGCGTGGAAAGCATGTCATCGTGTATGTCACGTTTGAGAGAGGCGAGGCCGTGGTGTCCCAGTTTCTTGCTCTCGTGTCGCTCGAACGTTGCGACGCCGCAGCACTGCACGACACGATCGTGAAGTGTTTGTGGTCGAAGGACATGTCGCTGGACAAGCTTGTCGGGGTGTCAACGGATGGTGCATCCGTGATGACTAGCGCGAAGAACGGCGTTGTCGCCATGCTTTGGAAACGTTGCCCGTGGCTGGTGGCGATTCACTGCGTGGCGCATCGGTAAGGTTGCACTGCACTGCTTCCGATCGTATTGTACACCTGTCCCCTCCCCAACCATACTCACGCACGTCTTGTGCTTGTGCAACGAGGCATTGGCTGCCAAGGATGCCGCAAAGAGCTTCAAGGAGTTCGACGTCGTAGATCAGATGATACGCCAGACTGCAGAGCGTCTCGGGCGTTCATTGACCAATCACAAGACCTACATGCATCTCCAGGACGTCATTCTGCAGACGCACCTGGAGGTGCAAGGCTTCTGCACCGTCCGTTGGTTGTCTCGCGGGGATGCTGTGAGTCGCTTCTGTGACGTGCTGCCGGTGCTGATGTGGATGTGGACGAAGGAGAAGGGCGAGACGGAGAAACTCGCCACCAGCTTCAAGTTCCACTACATGCTGTATCTCCTGGCTGACGTGCTGGCGCTACTCAACGGACTCAATCTGTCCTTCCAGAAGCAGACGGTAAGGTGCAGATGAGCATGGCCTTGTCACTTCTTGACTTGTGTGCTTTGCTCTAATTTTTTCGGGCTCTGTTTGCTTTCAGGTCGACATTACAGAGGTGAAGAACCATGTTGACAAGGTGAAGACCAAGCTGTCGCAGTACTACGTCGAGCCCGGCGCATCCAACGGGCCGAACACCTCTCGCCTGAACAAGTTCCTTGCTGCACACGGCAGCAAGGACAAGCGCAAGATGGAGCTCAAGGGAGTGGACGAGAATGGCAAGCATGCAAAAGCCGAGATCGAGCTTCACGAGGACATCATCGACCCTGAAAACCCTGGGGGGGGATGCGACTTGGAGGCCTGCGTGGACCTGGCGAGGCGTTTCGCTCAGCGCCTGATTAAGGCGCTGGGGAAGAGGATGGCGGATCTGCGTCATCTCGATGGTGTTGGTTTTTTCTCCCCTGATAAGTTTCCCGACCGTGCAGGAGAGCAGGACGCGAGGGTGAAGCTCCATCTCTCCGAGCTCCTTGACATGTCCAAGAACAAGCTACCTGGTAAGACGAGAGGGGTAGAGTAGGAACCTTGTAAAGGTTCTAACCTTGTTTATGTTCTAACCTTGAATATGGTTTTCTCCAACATTGGCATGTTCTAACCTTGTTGTATATGTCCTTGGCAGGAGTCGCTCTTGCTAACATAGAGCCGCAGATGCGCCTCTTCACAGCCACCATGGAGAAGAAGTTCAAGAAGCAGAGCTTCCATCAGGCTCTCACCAACATGCTGCGCACGGCAGACTAGAAGGATGACTATCCCACCATAGTCTCCCTCTGGCGTGCAGTCTCTGTGTTGCCCTTCAGCACTGTTGAGTGTGAGAGGGGCTTCTCCCGCCAAAACATTATTAAGTCGTGGGATCGTGTTGCTCTTACTGATGTTAGGCTGGGGGAGCTGATGACGGTGAAGATGCTAGACTACTCAGTGGACTGGGCAGCGGCCTATGCCTTGTTTGAGGAGAAGGGGAGGAAGCCTGCCAAATAGGCTTGCATTGCATGTTTGGGTAGAGTAGGGTAGTTAAATCTGCATGCTAAATCTGTAGTTAGTGAAAAGTAGAACATTGCAGGCAACTATTGAAGACATGTGTAGTATTAGGTATGACTGACATCTAATATAAGTTGAAAACTGCACGTATCACAGTAAAATACAGTGTAAGTGCAAACTTCAAATGTGCCCGGATTTCAAGTTTTCACTTTGGGGTGCGCCCGTGACCGTTAAGGGCGCCAAAACGCACACCTACACCCAACCAAGGGTCATATGCGGAGGAGCTGGGGAGCGCAAGTACGAGCCCCAGAAACTTCGACAGGCCTGATCTTGACTGTGGATGTAACGCGTACGAGATGGGTTCCGTTGAACTGGGTTCTGTTCTGAAGGGCGCTGAAGTTATTTCAGCTACAAACGCTGTTACAAAAAAACTGCAAATGTATCGAAACATCTCGTAAAGGGATTGCTCCGAGTCTTCAAAATTCACAATAGTGTGGTCTCCACATTACTGCATTAGTCCTTACATTTTGTAGTACATCTCGTTTTGTAAAGAAAGCGAGCCGTAACATTCGTTTTTTACACCTGCTTATCTCGAACCCAAGCCAACTCAGTCAGCCTGAACCAAAGCTCGTAGGATTTAGGTCGGATTAGGGAGCAGAAACCAGCAGTCTCTAAGGAGTTAGGCGGTCTTGTTCGCTGAGGCGAAGAGAGAATTAGACCTCGCAATTGGTAACGACGGGCGGAATCATCTGCACTGTTCTTGAAGTGGTGACACTATAACGAGGATGGGGAATCTCGTGCTAGATCCGCAGATTCGCGAGTGGGTGCTGGTGCCGCTGACGGTGGTGATGATCCTCATCGGCGTGCTGCGACACTTTGTCGCGAAGCTCATGCGATCCGATACGAAGGTCGACGTGAAGGCAATCAAGGAGGGGTGAGTCGCTCTAGAATAGATAAAGTGACTGACTTGTACTCAGACCTCCTAGGGGGGTGAGTTGCTCAGGGGGGTGAGTCGCTCAGGGGGGTGAGTCGCTCAGGGGGGTGAGAGGAGGGGTAAGAGGAGCGGGGAGAGGAGGAAGTGAGTCCTTTGCGACGGGGAATACAAACATGAGCTGTTGCTTGAAGTGCTGGTGCCGCTGACGGTGGTGATGTTCCTCGTCGGCGTGCTGCGACACTTTGTCGCGAAGCTCATGCGATCCGATGCGAAGATCGACGTCAAGGCGATCAAGGAAGGGTGAGAGGGGGAGTGGGGAGGGAGTGGGAGTGAGAGGTGGGGTGAGAGGGGGGGTGAGAGGGACGCGAAGCTCATGCGATCCGATGCGAAGATCGACGTCAAGGCGATCAAGGAGGGGTGAGTCGCGCGCGGACTGTATTGGACTGTATAGCACTATACTGTGCGCTACGGTATGGTACTATACGCGAGATGTTAACCGTATCTTGAGGCGTGTCCCGTGCCATCGTACTGTGATTCGGCTCTTGTTCTAGCGTGGAGTAAATAGTAACTTTTCTTCCTCTTTCCCCATCCCCCATCCTCTCTTCCCTCACCCACTCTTTCCCGCCCTTCCCTTCCCCCCTCCTCACCTTCCTCCCACCCCTCTCTGACCTTTTCCCCCACCCACCCTAACCCCCTCCGTCCATCCCCCCAACCCCACAACCCCCTGCCAGGCAGCTGGTGATTCGCGCGCTGGCAACTTGAGGGGAGCGGGAGGCTTCATCCCCTCGCGCAGCTTTGCACAGCGGCGCCACCTGTTCTGCAACGAGGTGTGACTGTATGGGTGTGACTATGGGTGTGTCTATGTGTGTGATTGGATGGGTGTGACTGTATGGGGGTGATTGCATGGTTGTTTGTGACTGTGAGTGTGACTGTATGGGGGTGATCGTATGGGTGTGACTGTATGGATGTGACTGTATGGGTGTGTATGACTGTCTGAGAGGCTGTATGCGTGTGACTGTACAGAGGTGAAGGAGAGAGATAGGGGCTGACACGTGTCAGTGCTGGCTTGCAGCTTTAAACAGATGCGCCATGTGGTTTGCAACGAACGTGACTGTATCGGAGGGACGTGAGGAGGAGGAGAGAACAGGAGTTGAGGCGCCACGTGTCAGAGGTGGATTGCAGCTGCACACCTAAGCGCCACATGTTGTGTGTGCTGCACTGCAAGTGTCTGGCATGAGACTGGGCTGCTGCACGGTCCAAAGGGGCAGGGCAGGATGGCAACCCTCAGGTCACCATGTTCCGCCTCCCTCGCTTCTCGCTCCCGTCCCTTGAGGCGCCTCAAAAATGTTCCGCCTCCCTCGATTCTCGATCCCGTCTCCTCCCCTTGACACCACCATGTGCCCATGTGTGTTGTGTGTTGTGTGCTGTGTGCTGTGTCGTGGATGTGTAACTCACAGGAGAACGGGCTGCTGCATGTGCCCAAGGGGCAGGCCGGCAATCCCCAGGCGGCCATGTTCTCAGACCCCAACGTGGCCATGGATATGATGAAGAAGAATCTGTCCATGATCATCCCGCAGGTACGGACACTTTACAAGACTCTATAACGAGTACATGAGAGAAGCAGGTATGGTGCTCCCTCCATCCGCCCCAGGCGGCCATGTTCTCAGATCCCAACGTGGCCATGGATATGATGAAGAGGAACCTCTCCATGATCATTCCCCAGGTGACATAGCAAGGCCTCTATAATGAGTACGTAGTGTATGAAGTCAGGAATACTGCCCACCCACGCCATGTTCTCCGACCCAAACGTGGCCATGGATATGATGAAGAAGAACCTCTCCATAATCATCCCGCAGGTGAGATTGCAATGCTCTATAACGGGTACGTGGTGTATGTATTCAGTTATGCTACGACCCCCAGGCAGCCATGTTCACAGACCCCAACGTGGGCATGGATAGGATGAAGGAGAACCTGTCTACATCATCCTATCATCCGTGCCTACGGATCCTTAGGTACGGATAGATTGCACAGACCCCAATGTGGCCATGGAGAGAATGAAGGAGAACCTCCTCCCCTCCCTCCCTCCCTCCCTCCCTCCCTCCCTCCCTCCCTCCCTCCCTCCCTCCCTCCCTCCACACCTCAGTCCCCCCACATTGCCGCTTTTTTCCTTCTTTTCCTCTCACTGCCAAGCAAAACCCCCGCCTCCCATCCGACCTCCTCCCATCCCAAACACTTTTCAGTCTCCCACTTTCCCCTAAATTCCCTCATTGTTTCCTCAAATTCTCAGCCTGATATCCCCCTCCCACCCCCCTTTCCAATCTGACCTCCTCCCCACCCCCCCACTCAGTCTCTCACCTTCGCTTGGGTCAACTTCTTCTTTTCCGGATTTGTTGCGGGTACGTGGTGCAGGGTGGTACTGGGACGTGGAGTGGAGGGTGGTGCAGGGGGGTGCAGGGGGGTGCAGGGGGGTGCAGGGTGGTGCAGGGTGGCGTAGAGATCCATACCCTACCGCTTCCCCTTGTCAACATCTCTTTACCTATCCGTTCTCTCCCTCTCCCCTTGCGTCTCCCCCGTAGCCAAGGTGCCCTTCCCCTTGACCCAAAAGTTTGTCGGCATTTACCTGAGCACAGTGGACGTCGGCTTATGAACCAGCTCACAAGTATTCTCTGTATCATTCCCCCTGTCCTTCTCTCCTTGCGGCCCCTCCTCCCAGCCCAGCCAAGGTGTCCTTCCCTTTGACTCAGAAGTTCCGGGCATGCTGCAGAATGGCATAGATCTGAGCACTGTGGCCAGTTTTGAAATTCGTGAGCTTCTGAACCGCATCAGAAGTGACTTTCACCCTGAAAGTGACGTTTCGGCATCATCCCTCCTGTCCCTGTCTCCTTGCTTTTCCCACAGCCAAGGTGCCCTTCCCCTTGACCCAAAAGTTCCGGGGTATGCTGCAGAACGCATAGGCCTGAGCACAGTGGACGTCAGCTTTTGGACCAGCTCACAAGTATTCTCTGTATCGTTGCCCTGTCCCCCCTGTCTCTCCTTGCCCACCCCCACCCCCCCCCTCCCCCCACAGCCAAGGTGCCCTTCCCCTTGACCCAAAAGTTCCGTGGCATGCTGCAGAACGGCATTGATCTCAGCACAGTGGACGTCAGCTTTGTCAGCAGCCGCTCGTGGTGCGTGTGACCGCTGCAGCAGTGTGATTCTACTTTTTTGAATGTGTGTACATGGAGAGTGTGAGGTTCAGGGCGGCATAGATAGACCTGAGCACAGTGGATGTCAGCTTCGTCAGCAGCCGCTCGTGGTGCGTGTGACTGGTGTTTGAACATGTGTGTGTACAGTGAGGCTTGCTGCTGCCCTCCGTTCCAGAGGTGCAGAACGGCATAGACCTGAGCACAGTGGATGCAGCTTCGTCAGCAGCCCTCTTGGTGCTCTTGCAGCTCTTGCATTATTCGAATTGTCGAATTATTGTTTGTGTAATTCGTCAAAGTGTATTATGGTTGGGTGTGTACTTACATCCAGCAAAGGGTAGAGCTTTTTTTGTATCAGAGTGGCAGTGTGTTGCACATGCACAATATTTACTGATCGACCGATTTTTTTTTCTCCCATTCGGCCACTCCCGTTTCCTCACACACTCTAATTTTGTGCATCCCCTTTATTAGGTACTTCCTTAATCTTTTTGGGCCTTCGGGGCTCTTCACACTCATTCTTGGGGAGGATAACGGTGAGTAGCCTCGAGTGCTCTCTTTTTTTTTTATATATATATATATAATATATATATATATATATATTCCATTTGATTTCGATTTATTTGCATGCACGTTCATGTATGAAGAAGTGTTTTGAGACGTCTCAAAACAACCTTTCATACACGTGGCTGTTCTTTTAATTGATTTGCATGCACATTCCTTGGCCGCCCTTCTGACCACGTCCTTTCCTCAAGCATTTCAATTCGTCAACCCCTCTGCGCATACCTCCTGCCCCCCACCCCCTTTCCCCCTCCCCTTTCTCTGTCCCAATCAGCCACGGAAGACACACAGCGAATGATGGCCATGCAGATGAGTGCAGGTACCGGTTCACATGGGTGAAGATGGGTGCAGTGGGCACCTTCTAATGCTCTCCCTGTTATACATTCCTCGTTCCCCCCCTCTCCATCCAGCCACGGACGACACGCAGCGAATGATGGCCATGCAGATGGGAGGGGTGGGCGCCGACCCTACCAAGGTACGTTTGTGACCTTACCAGATGGGTGCAGTGCGGTGGGCGCCGTTCCGACCAAGGTACATTGTGACCTTACCAGATGGGTGCAGTGCGGTGGACGCTGACCCTACCAAGGTGACGTACCAGGTCTATAGCGAATGTTGGCCATGCAGATGGGAGGGGTGGCGCCGATCCGACCAAGGTACGGCGGTGACACACCCACATGTACTTTAAAGGTGCTGACTTTTGAGTTGAGTGGCCAAGCCAAGCAAGGTGACGTTTCAGGTGTATAGCAGCTGTGGTGGCCATGGAGATGGGAGGAGCGGTGGGCGCCAATCCTACCGAGGTACGGTGGTGACCCACCCACCCAAGGTACGGCGGTGCAGACCGCAGCGAATGATGGCCATGCAGATGGGAGGAGCGGTGGGCGCCGACCCTACCAAAGGTATGGCAGTGGGGACACACCCACCCACACATGGATGTACTTTCAGACCAGACCTAGCAAGGTGGCGTATCAGGTGTGGGTAAAGGTGATGCCATGCAGCTGGGAGCGGTCGGTGTTGACCCCACCAAGGTACGGCGGTCAGTCACCCACACAGGGCTTTAAACCAAACCAGGTTAAAGCTCAAGGCCCAAATTGTTCAGGATTACTAAAGTTGACCCTTGGGTGGTGGGGGAGCTGAGTAGGAAAGTTGAGGTGTTGGAGGGGTGTAGGGGTTTGGTTTCGCCCAGCTTCTCGCCACACTCAAAACAAAATTCGCTGACTCAGCAAAGCCTAGGGGACGCTCAGGTTTGGTTGCGCGAGTCCCATATTGCACAAATATTACTCTTGCCAGTTTCCCGCACCACCTGTTCCATTCGCTGACTCAAATGTTCCGGCCAATCAGATGACTTCGTACATTTCGTAACCACAATTCGCCCAGCTAAAGCTGCAAAGCAGCACTCTATCAAGCTTACTAAACTTGCCTCGCGCGGCCCGCAATTTGGGCCTTGAGCTTTAAGCAAGGTGACGTACCTAAGGCACGGTAGGTGCCATTCTGTCGATATGTGGCTGCAACTGGGTGTTGTTAACTCCTGTAGAAAGTAATGCTGTTGAATGCTGGTGGGCACAGCGGGTGTCGATCCTACCAAGGCAAGGAGCCAGACCACCGTGTATCCTGAGTTAACAACATCCAGTGTGTGCATCCCTGAGTCCTGACCCTTTGATGTAAGCTATGCACGATTTGTTTAGCATATAATGGGCCTAAACCTCAACGGCATATCCTGGGTTGGCCTGGCTTTGTCTAAAAACGCATGGTCTGTGTATATGTATATTATATGCGTGTGTACATGGTCAGTGCTATCACTAATCGCCACAGTACATGTTGCTCGGTGCTGTTCCTCTCCCTATGGCATGTGTTTTTCCAGTGCTTTCAGCAGAGAAAGAGGCTCTGGAGCTGACACAACCAATGGAGATGCTTCGTTTGTCGGAACAGAGAGCTATTGAGGTTCTCAGGAAGAGAATGCTTTAGTATGCAGTATAGCAAGTATTGAGTTACTTCATAGGTTAGAGGCAGTTCACAATGTGCAGTAACCAATTACAACAAATATACAGATAACTTTGTATGCACTTGCAATTTACAAGGTTGCTTTAGTCCCAGCATCTCAGGAACTACCCAGGTCAGAGAAAGTTTGTATAGGGCAATATCTGCCCATTGTCCAAGTTCATTGTGCATAACGGTGTTCCCCTATATGAAATTTATCTGCACGTTGTTGGGAGTGGTATGGTGTACAGTTTGTGGTGTGGTCCTGTCAGCGATTTCACTAGTCTTGTTTTGAAGTTTGACGGTTAGGCGAGCTCGTTTCGGGCAGTATGGTGGAGGCCCAGATGATGAGACGCAAAACCCCAGGATAAAAAAGGATACAAAAATATTCGAAGCCAGAAAATGGTTTCTTAGTAAACTCCTAAGCGTTGAGGCTTATGTTGTTTGATGTACCCCCCTGCACCACATCATCAGGACTTGACACATCTGTTTTCCATTCCTACTTCCACTTCCTTGGCCTGAACCCTTTTTTAACTGAGCTGGAGATGCTGGTTTGGAAACCAGAACTTCTGCGGGAATACCCATATATTCTTCATTCCGTGTCGGAGCATTGCTCTCCTGGAAAGATCTGCCGCGACGCGAAATCTCTCACAAAAAAACACGGCGGGAGGTAGTCATCTCAGATGACAAGTGTTCAGGATTGCGTGTATGCCAGTCCACCTCCCAGAGGCTAGGTGGATCACTAGCAGCGAATCCCCTCGGGCGCGCTTTATTGGAAGGCCGCTACGGCGGCTCCTCGTTGTTGGCACATTCCAGGAAAATTGCCCTTACTCGACGAGGATAGAGTGCAACTCGTCCACTGAATAAATGCACAAGTCATAGAGAAGTGATGCCGCTGACTAGTTATAAATTGGATATGACTCACATGATTTGTGCAGTTTTGCCCCCTATCCCAAAAATGTTTGCTCTGGAAGAGGATTTCCGAAATGTTATTATTACTTGACGTGGATAGCTGCTTCTGACTCTCTGCATCCACCTCACACCGCTGTGCGAGCCACTTCCAGAAGCATGTGAAACGAGAAGGTGATTGATGACAGGGAGTTGGTGACGGGCTACTGTGCTGATATCGCCCAACACACCCTGATGACCAAGTAATCGCCAAGAAGTATGGAGGCAACGTGGCATCGACTGGCGCTCTTTCGGCTTCTTAACTCCCTACCGTTATGGGTAAACCCTCCGAAACAATGAAGAGTAGGAGGTAGTTTTCTGATTTGGAGTACTTTTTCCAAAGGGCCAGAGATTGTCGAGACTGGGAAGAACTGGCTTTCGAGGTTGCCAACGTCTGTCTCAGGTTGGACTGCGGGCTTTGGGGCGAGTACGCTGAAGAAAGATGGAAAAGAAGACTCCCGATATTGCAAGCAGCTTGAAATACTACATCGGACAACATGATATCATGACATTCACAACCTTGCATTTTCGGCGCCGCTAGTTTTGACGTGTATACTGTACCGTTGCGCTGGTTGGAGCTTCGGTTTGGGAGCGTGTATGAGGACTGTTTCGCTCACGATGTTGCTGTATGTTACAAATTGCAGCCTGTCGTCCCTGTCCATTCAATTTTCCACGTGCCTCCCTCGCAACTACCCGCGAATCTCTTTCCCGCGCACCTTGGCCAACCAACATGTCGAGAAAGAATGGATCACCTTGTTAGAGCGTCTCCGAAGTGAAGCGTCGAATGGATGTCGATGGATGTCGGTAAATTTCAACCTTGGATCGAGAGTTCCAACCGTCAGGATTTACCGACATCGGATGTCAACGGATGTCAACTTCACTTCGGACCCGCCCTTAGCCCAGACCCGCACCTCGATCGTCAGCCAGCGCCAAGAGAGCTTGTTATAAGGCACTTGGCATGCGGTTCTGTGAATTTGAGGTGTGCGACATGTTTCAGTGCGTTTTACTGGGTTAAAGCGCTGTGGAATGCGGTATACTTCTACTAATTTATCAGGTTCGAAGAAAAGTCGGTTGCGAACTGGGTGCTAAGTGCCACCTGCGCTCCCTCTACTGTACTGGTTCTTAGAAGAACAGTGAAGTGACCCGCGTACAAACGGATCTGATGCTGGCTGGAGGTGTGACACTTGAGCGCAACAAGCGGTGGGAAGGGAACCTCCTCTGCGCTTCCACGTGGTTTGGGGGGTGGGGGGAGGTAGTGGGCACTTGCGCACCACACAGTTTTCATAAAAGCGCAGACGGGTACCAGGCGTCCAGTAAGAAAGTAGTCAGTTGCGTAGCCGGGCCAGTGATAAGCGCAGAAAGTTGCGCACTCCATCCACTCAGAAGCGCGGACAGTTGCGCGCCACATCCAGTCTCACGCTTCTTTAGCTGTCTGCCTTCCACTCTGTGGTCATTTTGCGTCCCTCGGGATTCTCTCCACCACCAGCTTTCAGTTTCTGATCCTCTTTGCCCACGCCTTTCTGCTTTTGATTCTCTGACGAACCACTCATTCCGTTCCAGCACGACTCTGGCTGTTTCTGGCGGCCATCTGTGGCTCTCTTTCAGTCACGTCGGCTGAGCTGTTTTTCTTTACACCGTGACTGCTTGCTTTCTGGCTCGCTCCACGGTACACCTTGGGATTCGGGAGTTAGAACCACCACATCTTACTGTCAGCAACCACTCCAGTGTCTTTCTTTCACAGCCTCACAAGTTAACAGTCACACGCGAAAGGCATTACACACCAGACAGATACGGTACGCCCATCCAGCCATTCTCTAACGCTAGCTACCTCACTCCGCGCGCTAACAGGAAGTGACCACCTACCGACTCCTTTTTAATCCATCGGGTTCGCCATGCCGAAGCCGTGTGACGCCTGTCAAAGCGTCACGGCATTGCTCTACTGCCGAGCAGATTCCGCCTATCTCTGCGCCGGCTGCGACGGCAAGATCCATGGCGCAAACAAGCTCGCCTCGCGACACGAGCGGGTCTGGGTGTGCGAAGTCTGCGCGAAATGGCGCCAGCGGCGGTAACCTGCAAAGCGGACGCCGCGGCGCTCTGCACGACGTGCGACGCCGACATACACAATGCGAACCCGCTCGCGCAAACGCCATGACCGAATCCCGTCGTTCCGTTCTACGAAAGCCCTTCCATGGTCAAAGTCGCCCATATCCAATCCGCCGTAAACGGAATCGTCCTTCCCCGGATCCGATCTCTCTTCACCCGGGGAACATGGCCTCAAGGGGCTCGGCCTTCATTTATCTGAGCGGAACCAAGATCATCTCGGTCATAACCATCATCCCGATAATGAGGAAGCATGTGACGAGGATACAGCCGGCGATACGGCCAGTTGGCTGCTCAACCCGTCCTCAACCCCACCGCTGCCGCCGCCGCTGCCGCTGCCGCTGCCGCTAGTCGGCTCGGCAGCAGCAGCGACCGCCCTGTCGTCTCTCCCGTTTTCCAACATCGGCATGTACCCCCCATCTCTCGGTCTCAACCCGACGTCGCTCTTCCCTCACCCGAACGCTCTCTCCCTCATGATGAAACCCCCTACATCTTCCCCTCCGAACCCAGCCGCTGCCACCGCCGCCGCCGCAGCCGCGATGAGCGGCGCCCTCCCGCAGTCTCGGCTCACGAAAGCAGGAGGCGCGGAGGGAGCAGCAGCAGCAGCAGCAGCAGGAGGAGGGCAGATCAGTTGTTGTTGTTCGACGTCGATCCTTTCTTGAATCTTGAGACGTTTGCAGCTGCTAGCGCTCACAATCAAAGCCACGGTCACCATGCTCTTGCTCATGGTCATCTTGCCGCGGCTGGAGGTCTACCGACTAGTGCGCAACTGCTGCAGAGCCTGGCTGCCGGAGCTGGCCTAGGTTCGGCAGGGCTAGGTCGGGAGGTTTGGGAGGCGCGGGTTTTGGTTCGGCGGGGATCGGGAGGATCGCGAGAGACAGCATGGTTCCTGTTCATTCGACCGATGTGCGTCAATGCTCGCCGTCCGTTTCTAACGCGTCTTCGTTCGACACCCGCGCGCTTCGGGCGCTACCGCTCGCGACTCCGGGCACCTCAGGAAGTGTAAGTTATCTTGGATCCTCGTGTTAGTTGTTTTTTTCTCTCTCGTTCTTTCCATCTTCGACCATCGGTTGCTCTATTATCTCTGGTTACTCGACCGAGTCGTTGGATGTTTCGCACCCATTTAATAACATATATATCCTTCTGTTTCCGTTCTTGTCACATTTGCAGTTGTCACCATCCGCGCTCGACAATGGAGTCGTGCCAGACGTACTGGGTCGACCTAACTCGCTCGATGGAAGCATGGCTTTGCCGTTCGATGCTGCTGCGCATGGAGCGGCGGGAGCGACGGCTGGTAACAGCCCGATGGTGGCGATGGCTCGCGAAGCTCGCGTGATGCGGTACCGCGAGAAACGAAAGAACCGGAAGTTTGAGAAGACGATTCGTTACGCGTCGCGAAAAGCTTACGCCGAGAGCCGACCAGAGTCAAGGTAAGAACATGCCTTCTTTTCCTCCTGCTCTGAAGCTCTGGCCTCGATCCCTGGTGTCTTTTCTAGTGCTTTACGTGCCCTTCTGTCCGTGAATCGCGCAAGTTGACTAACCCCACCCTATCGTCTCTCTCTTTGCAGGGTCGCTTCGCCAAGAGAACTGGCAATACCGAGGAGGCCTCTACCGTGGAGTTTTCCCCTGCAACCACGGAGTCGAGCTTCGGGATGGTTGCCGCCTTTTCTTGACGCGCAAGTGTAGTCACTTCCACGTATCTTTCCATAAGATTAATTATGAAATTTATTCATCCTTCGTTGATTTTATCTTATTTTTTGAGTTGGCTTCTACTTTGAAGCAGCAATACCTTTTCCTTTAAGGCCTCTACACAAGTAGGTTCTTATAGCTGCACCCTCCTTGAATCGACTTCGTATCTTGAATTGAAATGATGGTACGGTAACACAAGTAGCACAGCAGTGAAGCACACAGCCACAGCCCAGTGCAGCAATAGACAGCCACATCCAAAAGGTGCAAAAACAGCATGGCTTCACTTGACGCTGGTAGTCACTCTCTTGCTGCTGCAGCAGGAACACACATGGTCACCATGGTAACACAAGCACAGCAGCAAAACACAAAGCGACAGCTGTGTGAACAACTTGAATGCATCCATTGCTTGAAGCCGGTTTGCTGGTAAGAAACACTGCTGCTACTGCTGTTGCTGCAGCAGGAGCTGAAATTGTTACCGCCGCGGTAACACAAGTAGCACAGCAAAGCACACAGCTACTGCTGTATGAACCACTTGAAATTTGATTGGTTAAAGCCGCTTTGCCAGACCCTGGTGGGGTTCCCTGCTGCTGCTGCATGCCATTGGCTGATGGTACACTGCTTTGCTGAGAGGCAGGCACGGTGCTGATGTGGACGGTGCTGACGTGGACGGTGCTGATGTGGATGGAGGAGTGGGGCCAGAAAAGGAAGCGGGAGTAGGGGAGGGCGAAGAGGAGGGAGCAGAAGAGGAGCAGAGGAGGGAGCGGCAGGGGAAGAGGAGGCAGGAGCAGAGGAGGAGGCAGGAGCAGGCTGCTTGATGGGGGAGCGGAGGAGGGGGCAGAGGGGGGAGCAGAGGGAGCAGAGGGAGGAGATGAGGGGGGTGAAGAGGAGGGAGAAGAGGTAGCAGAGCGGGGAGCAGAGGGGGACAGAAGGGGGGAGCAGAGGGGGGAGCAGAGGGGGGAGCAGAGGGGGGAGCAGAGGGGGGAGCAGAGGGGGGAGCAGAGGGAGCAGAGGAGGGAGACGGGGAGGCGGTAGAGGAGGGAGAACCTAGGGAGTAGCAAACCGGTGAGGAGATTTTTTGGGAGGGCAGGCCTGGTTGGCTGCATGGTCGAGACAGTTACCCCATACCTGCATACTGGGATACACGAGGGATGGGGTTCACACATGGGATCTCATTTGTGATAGCATGTCATGGCACGGCATGACAGATTCTTGAGGTGCTTCAGAAGTAGGCAGCCTGGTTGGGTGCACTATTGAGGAAGTTACCCGCATGGGGGGAATGGGTAAGTGTACAGGATATCATTTCATATGTCATTGGCACTGTATGGGAGGGAGCTGGCCCGCGAGATGACTTCTGAGACCCTTGAACCTTTAAGGCTTTAAAACTTGAAGGAATTCAAGGCTTTAGCCTTAAGGATTTTGAGATGCTTGGCAGGGGAACTCACATGAAGCGGAGATTTGATTGGTCAGGGATGGAAGGGAGCGGGTTTCTGAGGTGACTTTGAGACCCTTGAGCTTCAGAGGCCTTTGGGACAGTCTATAGACAGTGGCATGACGGGGCAAACTCACAAGATCGGAGATTGGATTCTTTGGAATGGGAGGGAGTTTGCCCGTGAGGTGGTTGTGGGAGACGTCGCTGTTGCCGTTGGGAGGGGCGGGAAGGAGAAGGAAGAGCAGAGAAAGCGGTGAGTCGCGATCGGAGGGAGTGGGCCCGTGAGGTGGTTGTGAGGACGTCGCTGTTGCCGTTGGGAGGGGAGGGGGAAAGGGGGAGATGGGAGACAAGAGCAGGGAAAGGTGAGGGAGAAGGGGGGATGAAGCGAGAGCATTGAGTCGGAAGACGAAAGGCAGTGAGTCAGGATGGGAGAAACGAGGGCCCGTGAGGTGGTTGTGAGAGACGTCGCTGATGCAATGGGAGGGGCGGGAAGGTGGGAGAGGGGTGGGGGGAGATGGGAGAGGAGAGATGAGAGATGAGAGATGGGAGATGGGAGATGGGCGAGGGGAGAGGGGAGAGGGGAGAGAGGAGAGGGGAGAGGGGAGAGAGGAGTGGGGAGAGGGGAGAGAGGAGAGGGGAGAGGGGAGATGGGAGGGGAGAGGGGAGAGCTTGTTGAGGGCCTCTATAGATTCATACTGGTGGTTACTGCAAGGGGTACCGGTCACTCACAGCAGTTTCAGGTGCGGCGGGGCAGTCAGACAAGCCTGGTTGCGAGCCAGGTTGAGCTCGTAGCTATTAGCCAGGCGGCACACAGCTGTGCCGGGATGCTCCCAGTGAGGCGGTTGCGGTTGAGATGAGATAAAGCTTGTTGAGCGGCTCTAGACTGACTGCCTGTTGAGCGGCTCTAGACTGACTGCCTGCTGAGCGGCTCTAGACTGACTGCCTGCTGCTGAGGGCTCTAGACTGACTGCCTGTTGAGCCCAAGGTCAGATTCTCACTCACAAGCAGTGTCAGGCGTGGCAGGGCAGGTAAACATGCCGGGATAGACCCATTCAGCTCGTTGTGACCCAGGTTGATCTCGTATGCATAGTGCAGGTGACACAGCTGTGCTGGGATGCTGTGCTGCCGAGAGAAGAGACCCTTACTTACAGCAGTGTCAGCCGTGGCAGGGCAGGCAGGCACGCCGGGATCGATCCATTGAGCTCATTATGACCCAGGTTAAGGTCATAGATATAGTGCAGGTGGCACAGCTGTGCCGGGATGCTCCCAGTGAGGCGGTTGCGGTTGAGAAAGAGCTTGTTGAGGGACTCTAGACTGCCTGTTGAGGCGAGAACTTAGATTCTCACTCACAGCAGTGTCAGGCGCGGCAGGGCAGGCAGGCAGGCAGGGATCGATCCATTGAGCTCGTTGTGACCCAGGTTGAGCTCGTATGCGTATGAAAGGTAGCACAGCTGTGCCGGGATGCTCCCGGTGAGGCGGTTGCGGTTGAGATAGAGCTTGTTAGGGACTCTAGACTGCCGAGAGTGGCTGGGATGCGGCCGGAGAGGCGGTTTCCGTCGAGGAAGATCTCAACGAGGAAGACGAGCGTGCCTAGAGACGGTGGGATTTGGCCCGTGAGATTGCAGTGCTCCATGCTCTCTGACAGAGCGGAATGGGGGGAGGGGGGGGGAGGAGAGGGGAGAGAATGGCAGGCAAGAGGGAATGCGGTTGGCAAGCGGTGGGATGCGGCCAAAGAGGTGGTTTCCGTCGAGGAAGATCTCAACGAGGAGGTTGAGCATGCCTAGAGAGGGCGGGATGGGGCCTGAGAGTTGCAATGCTCCATGGCCCTGACAGGGAGGAGGAGGCGGGTGGGGGAAGGAGGGGAGGGAACAGGGGGGGAGAGAACAGGGGGGGAGAGAACAGGGGGGAGAGAACAGGGGGGGAAGGAGAGGAAATCTCCACGAGGAGGTTGAGGGTGCCTAGAGACGGGGGATGGGGCCTGTGAGGCTGCAATGCTCCATGGCCCTGACAAAGAGGAAAGGAGGGAAAAGAAAAAGGAAAAGGGGGAATGGAAGACAAGAGGATATGGTTGGCTGGCGGGGGGATGGAGCTCCGTTTATGAAGTAATGTTTTGCGACGTCTCAAAACATTACTTCATACACGTGACAAGAGGATATGGTTGGCTGCTGGGGACATGGAGCTCAAGGGGGAGGTTGAGGGAGAAGAGACGGAGTTGACTTGAGTCAACTCAAAAGTCAACTCGGTATAACGTCACACGGTACTTTTTCTACACGCGGGGACATGGAGCTCAAGGAGGAGGCTGAGGGTGAAGAGATGGAGGGATGGGGCAGGGGGGGGGAGGAGGTCGGTAAGAGTGAGGAAAGCAGGTTGCAGGATACATTAACACACACCTAGGGCCGCAAGTCCTCCCAACCGTTTCGCACCCACAGGCAAGTCCAATTCCCAACCTTCCCCTCCCCACTCACAGGGACTCCAGCAGCCAGAGGTTTCCCAGGAAGGCTGGACGGATCCGTTGATTCCCTTGTTGTAACTCAGGTCGCTGCAGGTGTGAAAGCGATGGCGAGGGAGGGAGGGGAAAGAGGAGGAAAGAGAGGGAGGGGAGAGAGAGGGGAGGGCTGGTAGAATAGGAAGGAAGCTGGGACGGATCCGTTGATTCCTTGTTGTAACTCAGGTCGCTGCAGGTGTGAAAGCGATGGCGAGGGAGGGAGGGGGAAAGAGGAGGAAAGAGAGGGAGGGGAGAGAGGGGGAGGGCTGGTAGAATAGGAAGGAAGCTGGGACGGATCCGTTGATTCCTTGTTGTAACTCAGGTCGCTGCAGGTGTGAAAGCGATGGCGAGGGAGGGAGGGGAAAGAGGAGGAAAGAGAGGGAGGGGAGAGAGGGGGAGGGCTGGTAGAATAGGAAGGAAGCTGGGACGGATCCGTTGATTCCCTTGTTGTAACTCAGGTCGCTGCAGGTGTGAAAGCGATGGCGAGGGAGGGAGGGGGAAAGAGGAGGAA